AAAAATAAAAAGTAAGAACAAGAAGAATTCTGTGTAATTGACTTGTTTGCTATTGTCTTTAGCCAAAAGAATTATTTGATAAGTAAAATTTGTGCTGTATCTGATGAGTGAAAATTATATCTGATGAGTGAAAGTTGTATTTGATAAGTAAAATTTCTGTTGTATCTAAAAAAAAAATAGAGAGAAATAAGGTAGAAAATTCTAGCATTTGATACCAACTTTCTTTCTGAGGTCCGCCCTTCTGAAGTCCATCATTTATTCTCATACCTCTGACCTCAGGGTGCTTCAGCAGAAGTAGGAGTCCATATCTCAGGGTGGTGCTTGTTGTCTCAGTCCCAGCTCCAGACAGGTCAGTTACAGTGGTTACCATGTTTTCAGTTGTAAATTCAGTCTGTTTATTGTGCTTTTCCTAGGAATATTAGGTGATAGTTTGACATAGTAATTTTCCAGTTTATTTATTTGCAATCAATTCAAAAGAACGCGCTGTTACAAAGTTAAACAAACTTAGAAATTCATTCTTTTCTTTCTTAAAAATTTTTTTTGGTATGGAAGACACTGCAGATAAGATGACCTCTATACAATTTCCCACCTACTTTCCTTTCCCTGTGTTTCAGAATTGATGAGAGACTCATTAACAATCTATGAGATGCAGATGATACATCCTTTCTTGCAGAAAAGAACTTAGTCAAGAAGCACTTAATGATGAAGCTCAAAAACTATAGCCTTCCATGAAAATTATATCTGAACATCAATAAAAAATCCTCATATGTGTATCAGTGAAAAACATTATGATAAATAGGAGATTGAAATTGTCAAGGATATAATTTTACTTTGATTCACAATTAACATCCATGGAAACAATAGTTTAAAAATCAAGTGATATGTTGAAATGACAAATAGTATTTCAAAGACCTTTTTAAAGTGTTAAAGAGAAAGAATGTCACTTTGAAGGCTAATGTGTACCTTTCTCAAGCCATGGTAATTTTCAGTCTTCTCATATTATTATGAAAGTTGAACAATGAATAAAGAAGACCAAAGAAGAATTGATGTCTTTAAGTTAGAGTTAGTGAGTACTGAATCTATTATGGATTACCAAAAGGACAAATAAATCTTTCTTTGGAATAAGACTGATAGGCAACATCATGATGGATGGAGAAGAGATTGAAACTGTCAAAACTTCATCTTGTGTGGACCCACAATTAACAGCCTTGGTACCAGCCGTCAGGAAATAAGGAGACATATTGCACTGGGAAAATCTGCAGTTATATAAGAGTAATGATGTCCGTGTGAGGACTAAGGTCTGTCTAATTCAGGTCATAGTCTTTGTGATGACTTATTACACATCTGAGAGCTGGACAGTGAATAAAGATGACGGACAAAGCATTGACACCTTTGAGCTCAGTGTTGGAGAAGAGCTCTGAACATGCAATGGATGGCCAAGAGAAGAAACACGTTGGGTGCAGCCAGAATGCTCTTTGGAGGCAAGAATGATGAAGCTTCACCTCACATACTTCAGGCATATTTATAGGAGGGGCTACTTTTTGGAGAGGGACATGATACTGTAAAGGGTGGAGGGCCGGTGAAAGAGAAGAAGACCCTCAACCAGGTGGATTGACACGGTGACTTTTGCAGTGGGCTCTTAAGTGTTGGGAACTGAGAGGATGGCACAGGCTAGAACAGGGTTCAGACCTTTTGTTCGTACAAACAGAAACAACAAGTAGTCTGTTCCTTGGAAACAAGATGATGAGGTTTTGTTTCACATACTTTCAGTGTCTTATCGGGAAGAGGCATCTCTTGAGAAAGATACCATGCTTGTTAAAGTAGAAGATTGGTGAAGAAGAGGAAGGTTCTCAACATGATGGGTTGACTGGGTGGCTACCCACAGTCCCATTGAAACTGAGTATAAACGAACAATCTAGTTGGTCTTGACTTCTATTCTTGTCACACAGAGATCATTTTAAACAATCCTCAAAATAATTTCCCTTGTAATTTTTATTCTTGTGTTGAACACCACATCTACTTGATCAAATGTAAAACTTTCCAAGCCAATATCCATACTTAAGGTTATCTGACAGGCAAAAAATTCCAGCTCTGTTAATATTCTAATTAATTTCTCTGGTTATAGTCAACTGAGGTTTTTCCCTTCCACCTACCTTATCTTTTTTGCCACCACAAAACTCTGTATATACCATTCAACATATCTGAAATTACTTCTCCTTCCCTTACTGCAATATTTCTTTTCATTCTCTCATTCACTATGAGCAATGATGATTCCCATCTTATTTGCTAAAATGGCATTTAATATTTCTGACATCTTTTAATTGCTTCTATTTCATCTTTGGTGGGCACTTTTCTTCTCTTTAGGCAGATTTTAAGTACCCAAAGATCATAACAATCAACACTCGAAATAACTGTAGTCAAAATCAAAAGATGTTCTGCAGAGTGAAACAATCTTTTGAAAGTGCTGAAGTACAAGGATGTTAGTTTAAACATTAAGGTGTTCCTGATTCAAGCCATGGTATTTTCCATTCCTTCATAAACATGTGTAACATAGACAGTAATAAGGAAGATCAAAGACATGATGTCTTGCAATTGTGGTACTGGGGAAGAATATAAAATACCACATGGTTATTTGCCACAAAAACAAATAAAACTGTCTTGGAGGAAGTGTATCCAGAGTGCTCTTTGGCAGGAAGAATGATGAGACTTCATCTCATATACTTTGACCATGTTTTGAAGTGGAGGCAATTCTCAGAAAAAGATGTCATATGTGGAAAGAAGGAGCGTGAGAATAAGAAAGACCCTCAACAAGATGACCCGACATAGTGACATCAACAGTGGACTTGTCAAAGTGGAGATTGTGAGGGTGATGAAATATAAGGCTTTGGCCTGATGTTCAGGTCATTTATGAGTTCACTCAATGGTACTAAAAGTACCAAAAAAGAAAAGGATCTACTTATTTTAATATCTTAACCATTCAACATAATGTAATTTTAAAATCACCTCAGAAGGAATATTGTTGATCCATGCACATAGTGTCATTGTTATGTGTCATCAAGTCCCTTGTAACTCAGCAACACTCTGTACAACAGCCCTGAAACCTGCTCTCTTCTGTGCCATAATTATTGTCTCTGCCACATCTACCCTTATCTCCCCAGCCACTAAATGAATCCATCTCATCAAGGGTCTTCCTGTCCTGCACTGTCACTCTACACTCCCAAGCATGATGACCCTCTCCAAGGTCTGGTCTTCCTTGCAATATGCCCAAAGCATGTCAGAGCTTCAAAATCCTTGCCTCCAAGGAGCAGCCTGATTTCGCCCTCTCTAGGCTGAACTTTTTTGTTCTCTTCACAGCCCACAGTGTATTCAGTACTCTTTTGCAGCACCACACTTCAAAGGCATCAATTCTTCTGTCATCCTTAGTCATTGTCCAGCTCTTTGATGCATAGCAAGTAATTGCAAAGACCATGTACTGGATCAGGCACATCTTAGTCTCTAGACCGAAATAATTTCTCCTCAGTACTCTAGCGAGGTCCCTGACAGCACATTTTCCCAATGCACTTCATCTTTGGGTCACCTTTCTTTGGGATAGGAACAAATATCGATCTCTTCCAGTCCGTTGGCCAAGTGGTCATTCTCCAGATTTCTTGGCACAACTTGGTGAGCACGTCCAGGGCAGCATCTGTTAACTGAAATATGTCAATTGGTATACCATCTATTCCTGG